ATTGCAGCACTGGAAGGCGAAGGTGGGAGGACAGCTTGAGCCCAGGATTATGTTGCTACCGTGAGCTATGATTTTGTCACTGTACTCTTTTGTTACCTGGGTGACACAGAAAGACCCTGTCTCTATAAAAAAGAGAAAAACAAATCTACACCAAGGCACATCATCATGAAATCAGAATAAAATGGAAAAAGAAGAGACTCCAATAGCTTCCAAAGTTAAAACAATTTACATTTGAAAGATTAGAAGAAAAAATAGGATTGAATTTTAAGACAGTAACCCATGAAGCCAGACTACAAAACACTAAAGTGTTAAGACTGGGTAGAAAAAGCTTTCGGACATGACAGGACTCATCATGCATCCTTTCTCAGGAATCTCCTAAAGCACGCACCCCCACGAAGTAAATGAGGAAATTTCTTTTTTAAAATGTGATAGAATCATCCTGCAAAAGGCCTGGAGAATGAATCCAGACTGAATAGGAATATACAGGATCCAATGGGAAAAGCAAAAATGCATGATAGGTATCTGGCTAATATGAGGGAATATCTGCAAAGAATTAAGGATATGTCCATAGAAAACTATGCAATTGATTTTTTAAAAAGCAATAATTTATTCCAGTATGGCAAGCTACACAAAAAATGAAATACTATCCCAGCACTTTTGGAGGCCAAGGTGGGCGGATCACCTAGGTTGGGAGTTTAAGAACAGCCTGGCCAACATGGTGAAACCCCAGCTCTACTAAAAATACAAAAAATTAGCCAGGCGTGGTGGCAGGCGCCTGTAATCACAGCTACTTAGGAGACTGAGGTGGAAGAATCACTTGAGCCCAGGAAGTGGAAGCTGCAGTAAGCCGAGATCGCGCCACTGCACTCAAGCCGGGGCAACAAGAGTGAGACTCTGTCTAAAAAAAAAGAAATACTGCACACTACCTGGTTCTGAATTACATAGACACTACATGGTTAAAATGTAAACAATGATTACTGATTTAACAAAAAATTATGATTTAATTAAACTAGGACAATGTAAATAATTTACTTATTTATGTTAATTAAAAAAGAAACAAGAAATGAATATTTAGAAATGATAATTCAAGAAATTAGTGTAAAATTTTATTTTAAAATATAGTAATAAACACTAGAAGAATCAGCTACAGGTCTTAAAAGTGGTCGCATCTGAGAGAGAAATAGGGGTGTAGGGGAGAAAAAGGGTGAAGAATAATTTGCTTTGAAAATTATTCTAAATTAAAACACAAATAAGAGTTACTAAATTTTGAAAGTACATTGCATTAATAAAAATAATTAACTGGGGCCGGGCGTGGTGGCTCATGCCTGTAGTCCCAGCACTATGGGAGGCCGAGGTGGGCGGATCACAAGGTCAAGAGACCGAGACCATCCTGGCCAACATGGTGAAATCTGTCCATACTAAAAATACAAAAATTAGCTGGGCGTGGTATTGCACCTGTAGTCCCAGCTACTCGGGAGGCTGAGGCAGGAGAATTGCTTGAACCCGGGAGGTAGAAGTTGCAGTGAGCCGAGATCACGCAACTGCACTCCAGCCTGGTGAGAGAGTGACACTCCACCTCAAAAAAAAAACAAAAACAAAAACTGGGATATTTGTTTTAACTTATCAGAATACATGCCTTTTACATCCTTTAAATTTCCTTAATTTCTAATCAGCAAAAAAAAATCACCTCTAGGCAGTTAGCTCACTTCTCATATACACTGATCAACTTTAGTTTCTTCTCCACTTCCAGCATGCTGACAGTCACCACCCAGAAACATTTCTCAAGGGAAATAAGTTCCTATTTATCCATTTATAACATTACCCTCAAAGTTCTACTTAAAGGCCATTTTTTTTTTAACGTGAGTTTGAGTTTACATAAAATACTGTAGAGTCTGAGAACTAATTAGCCCACACGGGGACTTTTAAAAAACAGTTTTCTAAGTAGTCTTTAATCTTCTACAAACTAATTCATTCTGCATATGCTTCACCAGTAAATCAACTTAAAATATTGTTTTCATTATCTCTCCTTTGCACAAGGGCCTGATGATTCCCCTCTTCTAAATAAGACTTTGGTCAAACTCTTTTTGTGATTTCTGAAGGCTCCCAGTCTAGTCTTCTTATCTCATGTTCTTAGTCCTTAACTTCCCAAAGTGTACCTTCCACTTTTGTTAGGCAGATCTTTCTACCTCCTCTTCATAACATGCTGCTCTTAACTTTTATCTCTCATAAATGCTCAGTCTCCAAAGTTGAACATCTTCACCTAACTTTTTACTTATACTAAAGTCAAGCTCAAGTCCATGACTCTGGAAATCGCCCCTTTGGCCTGCACTGACCCCTCTCTTCTTGCTTGAATTCAGACAGCCACAAATGCTTGCTTCTTGTAGTTTCACAACTGTGTTGTGTCACTATGATGGAAGTAGAGGTGTGGGGGTGGTCACTGTTTCATGCAATGCCAACCACAGAAAAGAAAAATAATAACCATTACTTGAAGATTTTAAAAATTCAGATAATTAAAAAAACTTGATCCTTCCAAGTCAACCTGAAAAATCACCATCCATCAGTCAATTAAACAAAAAAATTAGAACACTGACTTTTCCCCCACTGCAACATAGGCCCCTCTTCCACAAAACACATTGCCATCATAATGAGACCCCTGTGAGTGACTGCTCCCTCAAGATGAGGCACAGATCGAGACACATTCAAGAAAGGATATGAGATTGCAAGGAAATAAAGGGTGTTTATATATACAAACAAACCTGGATCCACTCAAATTTTATTTAAGTCATTTTTAAACTTTGGTATTTTCACTATTTTTCCAAACAAATCACTTGCTACTCATGTCTCACAACTAGTGGTTTTGCATCCCAACACCACAGGTAAGACTGACTTTAAAGACAATCTAATCAGCAACAGCATATCTATTATTACATTAATGACTGTTTTATCAAAATGATCATGTATGTACTTACTTGAAAGATATCTTGACTTTGGGTTTAAAATAGGGTGCATTCTGGTCTGCCAAAAAGACGATTAAGTCATTTCCTAAAGGAAACAAATATATATTAGAAAAATGTTTCTTGGTAAGACACCCAATCAGGTTACAAGAAGGTTTCTGAGCACTGCTCTTAACAAGAAAACTTATTCTGCTCCAGTTCATCTGCCCTCTCAAGGACAGTCCCACCAGTCCAATGGGGATGCCTAATATTATGTCACAAGTTTAATGTCCAAAGCAGCAGAGGAACAGAAAGGAGGAACATGGGAAAAAGCAGTTAATCAAGAGAAACTGAAGCCAGTGGATTCTGCAAGAAGTCAGACTGGTTGACTTAAAAGAACCATATAAAGACGATGTCTTATAACTACTACACGTCAAGACTTGTCTTCTCTGAATCTAGCAATGCTGTCCCTTGTAAGGCTGTTTAGTTCATTACATAGATACATGACCCCAAGGATGCAGGAACTCCCATTGTAGATACCTGACAACATGGACGTAATTAGGCATGTAAGGAGAAAATCTGAATCCTCCAAGACCCTCCACCTATAGAACCATCCTCCAGAGGCTGATACATTTTTGGAGCTCAATTTGCACTCATTGAGACAGACTTTTGGAATTGCTTAATCACACACAGGCCATCTTTAAAGTCAAGTCCACTCTCTGTATCCAGTTTGGTCAGAGTAGCAACAGGTTTGGCAGTATGTTGCAAAATGAGGAGTCAAAAAGATTGGGAAAATATTCAGAGTCCGTAAAAGGCTCTGCATCCTGGCAAGGGCCCCAAGTCTGGATCAAGATCCTGTCAGGCAAGCTCTGAGTAGCTCTTCATTTCCTTCCTTCATGGCATTGATCTTTAAGCCACATCTGCTTCTGTGAGTACTCAAGAACGGTAAGGACCCTCGCCCCCAACAATGCCCACTGTCAGCATCAAGATTTATAAAAAAGTTAGATTTTTGTAAATGATGGCTAAAGCAAAGAATTTCCAAGAACATGTTAGCAAAGAAAGTAGAGATTTGGAACACTAAGGTGATGACCAAGGTGAGGAAGGTGTACACGAAAGAAAGGCAGCTCGAGAGAAAGTTCTGTAGTTTGAGAATGCTTTCCCAAGGAGGTATTGGGTTTATCAGTGGTCCTTCCAAAATGCTTGTGTGAATTATTCAGTGTTTAGGCCCTTGAGGGCACATTCACTTCAAAGAAACTTGTGGCCTTGACAAAGAGAGGGGTGGTGAATTAGGTAGGTGGGGAGGCAAGGAAAAGGCCCCTCCCTATGAGAAGAAATTGTCAAGTTGCACCTTTTCCTGTTCATCAATGGGGAAGGAAGATTGAAGCAAAACAGAAAGGAGAGGGCCTTGGGAGCGAACGTTGAGGCAAGCTACAAAGATTCCTGGGAATCAGGAAGCACTTTGGAAGGCAGGTGATTCCATGGGGAGAAGGGGGTAGGGTGAGTGGGTGAAGGCCGCAGACTTCTGAGGAAAAAACCTGGGGTGCTGTCAGGGCTTTTGGGGGTAGGTCAAACTGTAGGGTGGCTGGGTCAGAACCTGGGGTTGGAAAGGGTGGTGCAAAAGGACAATCTGTTAAGAATGCTGAAGGGAAGGCCACAGGGCTGGGAGAGAAGGGCCAGGAAATGCAGAAGGACCGGCCATTGGGCAATGGGTTTGGGGAACACCGGGAGGAGCACACAGACAGCGAACAGAGGGAGGGCCCGGCAAACACTGACTTTCCCGCAGCACGAAGAGGTCCGTCTGCTTGTCGGAGTTGAGGTCCCCGAAAGCCGCAAGGGTGCCCCAGGCCTCGGCCCCAAAGAGCTCGGCCGTGACGTTGTGCAGCGCCCGCGCTGGGACCGGCCCGACTCCCAGTAGTGCAAGCCCCGCGAGGAGCGGCGCCAGCAGCGCCCAGGAGCTAGGCAGCCGGCCCGCCGCCGCCATGGCAGCCCCTCGGCCCCCGCCCGCCGGCCCAGCGCCGCGCTTGACGGCAGCCGCAAAGCACCGCGCCACCAGCGGAGAGAGTAGGCGCGCAACTCGGGAACGCGTAGAAGCCGCTGCAGGCTCCTTTTTCTCTCTCCCTCTAGAGCAGCCCTTCCGACGCTAAAAAGACAGTGGAGCTAGGATGAAAGTCGTCCTCACGCTCACTTCCGGCAGGCGCGCCTCCCGACAGTGTCGTGCGGGGGGCGTGGCCGAGCGGGCACTGCTGACAGGCTGCCCTGGGGGCGGTGGCCAAGGCGGCTGCTGGAGCGCAATGGCGGGGGCGGCCGGGCTCATGGCCGAAGTGAGCTGGAAGGTCTTGGAGCGAAGAGCTCGGACCAAGCGCTCAGGTTTGGCTGACTGGGGCGCCACCCCCCTACTCGAGCACCTTGGGTGGTGCTTCCTCTCAAGCACCTTTGCGGGAGGCAGGTGGGAGTCCTGGGAATGAACCTGTGCCCGGAGTTCCCCTTAGAAAGCAGGTGGCGGCCCCGGCCTTGCTTCTGATATCTTCTTCCACCTCTAAAAATTAGATGGCGATGCCAACTCCACTCTGTGTGTGCCCCCAACTCTTTTCCGCTTGTGATCCCCACTTGGAAACTGGGTAGCGGTCCTGACTTCCCGTAGAGTCTTCTAACTTAGAAATTAGGCGGCAGTATATTCCTGGGAAAGGGAGTGTACCCTCCCTGTAAGTGTTCTCCGTGCAAGTCAGATAGCTTAATCAGATCAAGTCAAATGTTGTAGCTACGCTCCGGCTGCAGAGAGCCGGCGACTGCCCCTTACCTTATGTCTTATATCCCTTTTACATTCCCCACGGGTTCTAAGCGGTAGACCTGTCATCTGTGTAGCAGAAACTGAAGGAGACTGGGCCTCAAGTCATGAAATGCATAGTTAGGGCTCAGAAGGAGAAGGGCTCCATCCGTAGGCAAGTGACCCCAGATTTTCCAAGCCCGAGAGCCTGGAGGTCAGAAGGTGCCTTGTAGGCAGTTTGAACAGTTCCAAGTGTCCCGAACTGACTTGTTCAAATTGCAGCGTCATGACTTGTGGAGTTATCAACACGTGTGGCTGAAAACTCCTCTTAAAGTCGGAATGAAAACTTCTCGTATTTCCTGGCTGGCCGGAGATAAGCTTAAGCAAAAAGCATGCACTTAAACGAGAAAGGTGGAAGGTAGAAAGCAGATTTTCAACTAAGGTGCTTCCCTTTGAAAGAATTGACTAACTATGTCATATTAGGGGATGTGAAAGGCATTAGCTAAGAAAATTCACTTTGCACTTGCATTGCTATTAAGAAATTATTTTCGGCTGGGCACGGTGGCTCATGCCTATAATCCCAGCACTTTGGGAGGCCGAGGCGGGTGGATCACAAGGTCAAGAGATCGAGACTATCTGGTCAAACCAGACGGTGAAACCCCGTTTCTACTAAAAATACAAAAATTAGCTGGGCGTGGTGGCACGTGCCTGTAGTCCCAGCTACTCGGGAGGCTAAGGCAGGAGAATTGCTTGAACCCAGGACGCGGAGGTTGCGGTGAGCCGAGATCACGCCATTGCACTCCAGCCTGGGTAACAAGAGCGAAACTCTGTATCAAAAAAAAGAAGAAGGAAAAAAAAATACAAAAATTAGCTGGGCATGGTGGCACGCGCCTATAATCCTAGCTACTCGGGACGCTGAGGCAGGAGAATTGCTTGAATCCAGGAGGCGGAGATTGCAGTGAGTAGAAGTCGCACCACTGCACGCCAACCTGGGCGACAGAGCGAGACTCCATCTCAGAAAAAATAAAATAAAATTATTTTCTCAGCTAATACATGCCTTTTCTATTTTGGGCTTTTCCCCTTTATGAAGTTCTTAGTTGTCTGTTGTACATACTGACTTTTTATTTATTTTATTTTTTTAATTTAGAGAAAGTAAATCTAATTTCTGAAAATCTAATTTCAGAAATCATAAACCTAACCTTTATTGCCAATTTCATTCTGCTTTTTATACCTTACAAAAAGTTCTGTTTTATTTAGGGTTATAGTAAAATTACCAACTATGAAATATGAGAGAATTTTTTCAAAAAGTTGTCCTTAGTACTACTGAGAATCAATAAAGTGACTTGGAATAGTCACATGTATTTGTTTCATACTTTTTCTTAAATTTCTTTTTTGTGTCATATAGGAATATTGAGTTGGCTACTAACAATGTAGCTATCTGGATATAAAAAGTGTTATTGGATTGGTTATGTCTGACAAAGAAAAGTAACCAGAGTTTTCTTACAGGGACCTGAGTACTGCCCCCAACATATATTTTTGCAACATTTCTCTTTTCCCTTCCTAAGCACATAGAGTTTATTTTCTTCATCAGTCTTTCTTTCCTCTGAAATGCATGTCATAACAGCTTTGAAAACCTTACTTCTCTTTTCTTAGCTGAGAAAAAGAATTCTAGCGTTAACTGTTGTTGAATGCAGTTATTTAAATTCAGTGTTACGTGCAAAGTGCATAGTATCAATGTTGAATGTTCCTATGTGTTTACATTGTAGTAGTAAAAAGAGATGCCAGTTGAAGTCATTCCTCCAAATTAATAGTTAAATTTCAGGTTTCACATTCTTATAACGATATGAAGTACAGATGATAAAGTTAATAACTCTTGAGTTAATAACTTCCTATGCCATTAAAAACAATCAACTTGATTCTGTTTGTTACTTTTAGAAGAATATATAAACAGAGCTTTGTTAGAAACCTCCACTAACCTGACTCTGGTGTAGAGTCCTCCCCAGAGTTCGAGCATTGTTACATAGCAGCAGAATTACTTCACTGCACAATAGAGGATACTACTTTTATGTAATGTTTAATAAGTGGATATTATGTAGTTCCTGCCTCATCCATATGAGCAAGTGTAATTTATCAAAGCGAAGAAAATCACATTTTCAAGTCATAAAAGAGAAAATAAAGTTATAATGATCCTTAGTTACTGCCTTTGTTGCGCACTGCATCGTGTTAATAACTGCTCACACTGCTTTCAATTAATTTAACACTGATTGCTTCTAACCTTCACTAAACAGTTTTAAAATTGCTATAGCTTAGCCTGGGACGCTTATGATTAGAGCCAACAATTTGAAATGGCCTGCTCACCTGATGCAGTCGTCTCCTCGTCTTCTGCTTTCTTAAGGTCTGGTAAGTGTTGTAGACCCCAAAAGGGTCACTTGGTAATTTTAAATCCCTTTGTTTCTAAAGGTTGATGTCACCATAAGATATCATTATGTCTTTATTTCTTCTTTGGTGGGCCCAAGCCTGAGTACCAGACTGGTGTTAGGCTTAACTTTGCATTGTGTTTTGAATGTGGCCTGTTGTATTCTTCTCATGTGGGATGTGAAAAGGACAGAGAGTGGAGTGCCTGCCCGGCCTGCCCGGATACTTGCAAGCTATTTGAGCAGATGCAGTTCCTTAGTGTCTGGGAACCTTAAATACTTTTAGTCTTCTTACCACAATGGAAGTAACTTTTACAAATTAAGAATTTGTGGTCAACATCCCATTTATCTATTCTTCATCAGCTTACTGTGAAGCAGGTTATTAATATATACGTTTTTCACAGGCAGGAAGTGACTTGTCCCAGGCAATATTTTAAGGCCATGTGCTTTGGCCTTTATCCTGTGGCTTCCTGGTATAAGGGCTGGAACAGATATTGGCACAGTGACTCTTTGACTGTTGTGTTGATGCACCCCTTTGAGAGCTGGATTAAAGCTATGGAACTGCTCCCCAGATGTGTGCACGGGATTTTGAAAACAATTTCTGGGGGATTCATGGACACAGACATGATTACCTATGGATTCGCATTAGGAACCAGGCCTTTGGATGTATTCAGTCTCACTTTACAGAAGAAACACATTTTGTTAGGTGGCCACATAGCTGAAATGAAAACTGAAGCATTTAGAGCCCTTTTCTGTAGTTGTGGCCTAACTTGGGCCATTTAAAATCTATTATGTGCTAGAAAACATGGAGAAGCCTGCTGTTAAGAGGCTACTTTTTCTGTAATGTCTCTTAGCAGAGTATTTCAAGCCTCAGGACTCATGAACAGATAAATGTAAGATGAGCACCCCCACCACAGTGAAAACTCCTTGGCTTCACTGTAGAGTTTCAGAAGTGTTTCTCCCTCTTCATTCATTTCATTTATATTTCAAGTCCTGTTCTGGCAAGACAGAGGAGGAAAATCTTGAAGAAAATAAATAGGAAAGAGCTTAAGGAAGAACGAAATGGAGAAAACAAAAACTTACTCTTCAAGATACTGAAATGATTTCTGTCATTAGGTGTCATCTGCTAAACAACAAAATATTATATGTAACAATGCCAATTGGTTTCTGATTTTATCTTTCAACTAAAAGAACAGGAGGACATATATCCTAGACTGCATTTTCTTTCTTTATAAGCACTAAGCTCTGTTTTCCATCTTAGCTTTCGTACTGAGAAGGAAAGTGGTTTTAAGTACTAGCAGAGTCATTCAGTAGTAATGGGGAAATAGAATGCTTAAAGATAGCTTTTATGCATCAACAGTCCTGAAAATTTCTAAACCCAAGAACTGTGCTTTAACATTACATAGAGTGTTTGAAGACATATACAAGAAGCTTTTCCAGTACTGTATCAAGTTGAAATGGAATGCACCAAGAAACAGACTAGAAAAATATTAAACTTTAGTGTTACAATTCATTTTAAAGAATGATTCTTTACAAATTATTTTCAATGTTGACACTTTTTTGGAAGCTCATCTGACCAAAACTTAGTAAAACTATAAAGACACACTTAAAACTCATATCTGTTAAAATGACAAGTACCATTTCTACTGGTGTTAGCTTAACTTTACATCGTATTTTGAATGTGGCCTGTTGTGTTTGCATTTCAGTACTCTGAGTGGTTTGCATTTATAATTTCTTACTTATGTAGAAATACTGCATTTGTACTGGAATGATTTGCTTTTCCTTATTGTGGCTCTTTGGACATTATCTTTATAGGCATGTGTTTTATTGTGTGATTTCATTGAACAATTATTTTAAAGCATGTCCTGGCTTCACAGCTGAGCGTTTCATTGGTACTTTGGCTAGAAACTATCCAGTATTGCCAAAAGTGAAAGCCAGTAGTATCTTGATTTTGAAAAATTCATTTTCAATGCACTTGCATTGTTTTATGTATTTTAACCCTTCATATTCCTCCTGGATATGTTTCTGCTTTTTGTTTTTATTTGTTTTTCCTCTTTATTGAATTTAGTGTGAGTCCTGCATTTCTGTATGTGCATACTTGAGTTGTGCTCTGCTTATGAATGTACTAGTATTTGCTGTGGTTGAATGTAATTTGTTTTGACTGCTTAAACTGAAACAGAGATCTAGATATCCAGATTTCTCTTTAAAGACCCTTGGAGTAAAATGTACCATACCATGAATTTATGAAGAAATTCAACAGCCAAAATAAATTAAATAATTATTATGGAAGGAATGTAGTATTCAATACCTTAGATTGCTTCCATTTCTCATGTGGCCACTACAGTTATATTAAGTTAGCAAAATTGGTCATCTGTAGCAATCACCTTGGCAATACAGTTCCATTACTTAGAATAATTGTTATAGCATATTGTGATGAGGTAAGAAATAGCTTGGCATTTTTGCTTTTATTCTTAAACGACATAGATAATTTAAGAGATTATTCCTTTTTATAATGGCTCATGAGCTTATCTACCTTGGCTCCCTAAGTTTATCAGCCAGCTGATAAGTAGTTTTCAATATAGGACTTGAGTCTTTTCATTTACTTGTTTCTCTTTATGTTCTTTAATTAACTTTCTTTTGTTAATTTAATTTGATGGTCAAATTAGTACCTGTTAAAATTTTATTGTATATTCTGGGCAAAACAAAACCTTTAATTTTATATATGCCTGACTTTCTTTTAAGGAATTTATATCGCAGTCTTGTTTTTAGTTAGCTAATCTAACCGTCAACTAATTAAAGATTCTTGTGATTGGAAGAGAACATAGGCCTGAGTTTCCTGGACTCTTGTGGGTTGTGGCTTCCTTTCAGAGCCTAATGAAAGAGTACATTTTGTGTTCACCTACACCTGGGTCTGATTCTGGTTCTGTTGTTTACTACTTATTTGATCTGAGCACGTTGTATCTTTTTGAGATTCAGCTTCCTGCCTTGTAAAAATGACATTAATAAAACCTACCTGGAGAGATTATTGCGAAGATTAAACAAGATGTTGTATGCAAAACACTTGGTGTTTAGTAACTGCTCAATAAATTTTAGTTATCTTTCCTAAAAGTATGTGTCTTTTACAATATTACTGATGTGTATTAAAGACTAATGACTTATATGCAACAAATATGATTTCTTATCTCTCTCTCATTTTGATATCTGCCCTCAAAATAGCCATTTTAAGAAAATCTGTCATACTTAAATATAACTAGCTTGAATCAGACTACTCAGAATTAAATATTAATAGAGCTTTGCTATTTAATATGGTCCATTCCATTTTGTAAATTTAGTTCTTATTTTACTCTATGTCCATCTTATTTTTGTCAGTAATCAGTTTAACTCTAAGAAATTATTTCTGACGGTTTCCATGGAAACTCGTATTAGATAGCTGGTAGAACAGTTGTGATTTTATGTATACTTAAAAGATATTTTTGTCTCAGATATGCGGTGGACTCCCTTCATGTGGGATGGAATTCTCAGAAGTACTCCTTAATTGTATCCTACTTGGAGCTCTGACTTCTTCTTACTAGGTCTTGCCCTGTAATCTTGTAAGAGTTAGGAAATAGAGGCCATATCATATGACTTAAGTCCCTTGGCATGAATCTCATTGACCTTCAGGCTTACTCACTTTCTGTGTCATTATGCTCAGCAGAAATGATGCTTCACATTTCATAAGTGAAGTGGTTTCATGAAGAGCACAACAGCTTGTCTTGCTCATTTAGATTGTTATTAAATACTCACATTATGCATTCTAAAAGCTATTTTCCTTGTGCCGTTTTATCTTCAATCTTTTGTGAAATCAGAGAAAGAGTAAGAGGAACTCTCTAGAATTCCTGATTCTGATCCAGTTACCTATGCACATTTCCAAATGGGAATATGATGGGCATTTCAAATGCATGCTGAACAAAACAGAACTCTTATTTTCTACTCTTATTCTTATCCCAATCCTGTTCCTCCTTAAATATAACTCCATTTCATTAAACTAAACCATTATTCTTCCTACTTACGCTAAAAATACAGGGGTTATTCCTCTGTTTCCTTTACCCTTTTCATTCAGTTAATCTGTAAAACCTTTCTGTTTTACCCCTAAAACACATACCAAATTTGTTTTTCTCCAGCTATACTCCTAACCTCCCTAGTCCAAGCCACTTTTATCTCTGGTCTATACTACAGAAATAGACTGATTTCCTGTCTCTACATTCTTGTCTCACTACTATCTGTTTTCTGCCAAGCAGTGAGATGGGTCTTTAAAAAAAATGTAAGTCAGCTCATGTCACTTTCCTGCTTAAAGTCCTCCCATTGTATCTGTCATTACCTTAGCATAAAATCTACATTCTTGACCAGGCAAGGTGGGTCACACCTGTAATCCTAGCACTTTGGGAGGTGGATTACCTGAGGTCAGGAGTTCGAGACCAGCCTGGCCAACATGGTAAAACCTCGCCTCTACTAATAATACAAAAAATTAGCTGGGCATGCTGGTGGGCACCTGTAATCCCAGCTACTCAGAAGCTGAGGCAGGAGAATCGCTTGAACCCTGGGAGGCAGAAATTACAGTGAACCAAAATTGCACCATTGCACTCCAGCCTGGGCAAAAAGAGCGAAACTCTGTCTCAAAAATAAATAAATAAAAATAAAAGAATAAAAAATAAAATCTACATTCCCTTCCCTTGAATGACAAAGTCCCAGGTGATCTGGCTTTTGCCTGCCCCTCTGACCTCATAGAATGTTCCTCTTCTCCACTGCTTTCTTTGCATGCATAAGATGCAATCTGATTTGCACTTTAAGCTCTCTGTAGTATAGCTATTTAGGCACTCTGTAATAACTATTTTATCTGCCTGGAAAGCCCTCCTATACTGCTCTTTGGGTAGCTTGTTCCTTCTGGTTGAGTTTTGGGTTCTCATCTTAAATGTAGCCTTCTTAGAAAGGCTTTTTCTGCCTACCCAA